GTATATATATATATATATATGTGTGTGTGTGTGTGTGTGTGTGTGTGTGTGTGTGTGTGTGTGTGTAACAAAGTATTGCAGAATCTATCACCATTTTTTGCTTTCACTTTTTTAGCTTATTAGCTTTTTTGGAGAGGGGGTTGAATGAACTTTCGTGACCTCTGCTTTTACAATGGCTTTTCATACAAGGCTTTGTGTGTATGTACAGAATTTGTGCGTGTGTTTTAATGATTTTCTAAGTTCTGTATAATTTCTGTTTCTTAAGTTATAATCAAAGTAGCAAAATATTGATTTATTTGTCTTTGGTTTGAAAATTCTATCAAACTTGACCGAAGATTTGACAGTGACGAGTCTCCTACCTTAATATTGTACTTGGTCCCGCAGCTCTTTCAGAAACCAAAAATTAGCTCCATTTGATATGAGTAAGAACCCCCCCCCCTTAAAAACTAAAATTAGGTCACGTACTAAAGAACTACAATACATGTTGCTTGTTCAAGAGAATATAGTTCCTTCCGAGAATTCGGAAGATTTCCTTGATCTTGGAAGAGGTAGGTATGATTAACTTATCTTCTCCCTCAAACATAGCGCAATGGTTGTATCATTCGAAAAATTGGTACGTATGTCAGGCAGGCAAAATAAAATCAAAGGATAATACTCGTTTATTTCATTGGTGGTTTTTAACCAGACTTGTTGATACATCGCACGCCATCTGGAGTTCCTCTGTTATATCTTAGCAGTTCCTAGAACCTTATTTATTGTTGCTCAGAACGAAGAACGTCGCAGTGTTAAATCTATAAAGTTTTGCATTATTTTACTGGTTGTAATTGGGTACATTAGACATATTTTCATATCATCCGCATTTCGTTGAATGTCTTCAATAAGAAAGACGACTTCGGTATCGGAATAGAATTCCGAGAAATTACCGAAATATTCAAAAATTAAAGAGTTCTTTTAAATTTCAAAATAAATCCGTCTGTAGTTTTACCTTATCAAAAAAACTGAATACCTCGTTAACTTTTAATATTACTGTTTGTCACCAGTGGAATGCTTCGTAACAAAACTCTCTGTGGCTCTGGAAGCTGTCTGTTATTTTTCTTATACCTGTTCAAAGAACATATGATTAGGCATAGTAGGTTACATGCATTTTTAACACACAAATTTTTGTTTAGTTTTGTTTTGGATATTCGCGCAAAGCTTCACAATAGCTACCTGCAATAGTGGACCCAAATTTTGAATTGATACCCTAAACTGAAGGAATCTCATCATCAGCACCCACAGCAAACATGATTGCTTCTTCCGAGCTATCAGAAATTTTCTTTGATCTTGGAAAAGTTATCTTCTCCCTCAGCAGTGTGGCTGATGATAAATGCCACTTATGGTTCAAGTTGAAATGACAAGTTCAACTTGTAGTTTATTCGTAAATTCTCTATAATTTGGAAACATTTTCTCTAATATATATATATATATATATTTTTCAAATTTCTAATTCGTCTGAGTTTTTGGTGTCTTAGTGGGACTTGACTGTTATTTTTTCTAACGTTTTCACGGTCCCAAAGTGTGAAACACGACTTTGCGACAACGGGACGCGAAACGAGAACTCTAGGATCCACATTCTGGCACGTTAACCAGTAGCACACGCCTGACCCCATAAATTTTAGAAGCAAAATGTCACAATTAGTTAAGCAGAATAAGCTTCCATTTTAAAGCTAAACGGGATAATATGTATCTCAAAGCAAATAATTTAGTTTTAGGCTTAAGATAGAGGATCGCTGTATCATTCTATCTTGACTTGAAATATTTGATTATTACACACAAATATCCAGGTGCTTTTTATATATGATCACAGTTACATTGCATGTTTTTCTTTGTTCTAAGTTTTAACTGTAGAACGACTTCTGAATCGTTTCTAATGTACAGAGTGACGTTCGGTGTATACCGTGATACTTTCGTTTGTACCTTTGTACAGTATATAAATATATATAAAATATGTATTTAGGTCTTGATGTATGGGTCGTCAGTAAGAAGACCTTGAACTAAAATAATATAATAATTTATAACAGCAGGGTTGCTTAAACCCAATTACCTTTATAGTTCTAAACAGAAGGGAAAGGTCGTCGTCTGAGTTATTACAGCACATAAAAACTCTACTGTTAATAGTAATAATTATTATCATATATTTCTACTCTTATTAGAGACCTCAGCAGTTGGGTAATTGGACATGAAACTGTGTGAGGCAGGGTGGTACCATTTTCATATTAATTACTTTTCATATCTGTTAAGATATATCGTTGCTAACCTTCTCCCATAAGCCGAAGGAACTTTTTTTCCCCGTTGTTATTTTGCTTCAAAATTCAATTAATAGAGTACCTTGTCGGTCTACAAAGTATCCCAATAAAAAAAAAAATGTTAGCAACCTGGTAATTTGGTAGTTCTGTATTGTGTGCATATCAGTATATTAGAACAAGATAGACGCCATTATAAAATTTAAGACCATGATCCTGTGAGCAATTGACATAACTAGCACGTAACTATAAGAGTGGAAGCTAAGACTAAAATTAGAAAGATTTGTTTGTTGTTGTTGTTGTTTTTTTTTTTGCAGTGTGCCACTATCAGACTTATTAGTGAAACAAAATCATATAATTAGCTGACAGTCGTTAGGCAAGCGATGATGGTGCTCCATAAAGTTACTGTTCTGTGTCTTTCTTGTGGCTTTCCATTTTAAATCTGAAATTTATCGTTTATGACGAATTCGTGAAAAAATGGTCGTAGAATCGGGTTTTGTGAACTTGGTATTCTATACTTACCGTAGATGTAAAATTCGCGAAGAACAGTCACACCGTCACGTTTTACGAAATTCAGATTCCCAAACTTGTTGAATCAAGTTTTGTGGTAGTTGTTATAGAGAGCGCCACCAAAGAAACGAAACAAAAACATTTTTTTTTGTACATGTTAGATAGTGCATCGTCATTGTGAACTTCAATTCTGTGAGAAAAACACATTCAAGTTACAAACAAACAGACGGTTATAAATTTCGTTTCAACTTAATGTGCTACAGCATGATTGCAGTTTTACAAACTGTGGGGCGCGTAATGGTGGCTGAGAGGGGGATGGGGGACAGCCTTTTGACGGGTTAGCACAAAAATGACGAAAGAAAGAGAATAGTCGGAGATGACGATAACCTAACAAAAACTGTCACTTTGCTCTTAAAACATTTTTTTTTGTTTTTGTTGTTCTCGCATTTACTCACTTCTTACAAGCATTTACCATTTTATTATTTCAAAAATATTATTAAAAACAGATAAATAAAATATTGATTTGTTTTGTTATCACTTGCGAAAATTTTGCTAAGTTTGGGGGGTGGGTTCCGCTATTTAAATTTGAAAGCACTGACTTATTGCATTTGGTAGTTCCCGCAAATAAGTATTATTGAGAGTCTGTAAAGATTTATGCTAGTTTTATCTAGTAAAATTGAGCAGCAAAATCAATCCGACCCACATCGATCGGTCGTATTATGAAATCAAAGTATCGGGTATGGTGTAGCAGCAGTGTGGCTGATGATAAGAGCCACTTATGGTTCAAGTTGAAATGATAAGTTTATTTATAGTTTCTTCGTAATTTCTATATATATAATTTTTTCAAAGCAAATTTCCAATTCGTTTGAGTTTTTGATGTCAAAAGTTCATTAATACCATGAAGAAAATTAATTCAAAATTCCCCATAAATCTTAATACTGAGTAGAATAATTGAAGGACTTAATTCACCGTGTTGTTAAATGTTTTAAAACCTTCTCTAAAAGTCGATCACAAATACTAACGTTTTTTAACTCTCCAAGGGAATAACTTGTATTGGCTTTGAGTGTGATTAATTTCTATATAAAAAAAAAAAAGTTCAACTTTAAATAAAGTTTACTCCGAAATATTTTTAATTACTTCTTCAAAACTAACAAAGGGCTCAATATAACGTCTAATAATACTCAAGAAAGATTATACAACTGATTTAAACTCAAACATTTATTACTCAAAATCGTATAAATATTTCTTAATTTCAATCCACTTATAAATAATGAAATATTTTAACAGTTTATATGGTAGACATTTGCTAGATATTTTCATTAGAAAAAATAATAACGGTTTCAGTTTAGTGATGTGTATTTCGTTTTTACTTTTAGCTCCAACAAAATATCCACTTAGTCCCACGTCTTCCCGATTCTCTTGGCAACAGAGGCGCCACCTGCGGCCGAACACCGTTAGTATTGATAACCATAGCACGTTATCAGGTAATGTTGGAATAAAAAAAAAAAAAGGTTTTTATTTCATTTTATCTCACGCTTGATATTTTGTGAGTTGTTTATTATAAAGTTTTAAAAAGTTCGAAACGTGAACCATTATATCCGATGATTTAGGTCTGTTTCAATAAATGTAGCGCATTTAAAATGATTAATCAGTGATTATAAAACATATAAATATTCTGGCATGTCAACTTCAGGTCGAAATGAAAGCCAGTGCAACTTAGTTGAAAATAGCTATGGAACAACAACAACAACAAAAAAAAACATAAAATGATGCTTAAGGTGTCAGAGGGTAAAATGTTTGTTTTTGCATTACTTACATGTGAATTTAAAATGTTAATAATCCTAATAAAGTCTTCTTTTTAAAGGACTCTTAAGTGATATTACTTTCATTCTTCCATGTGGTTCGTAATATAACGTGATTGTTAAATATTTTAGTATCGGTTAAAATACCCCCCCCCCCAATGTCAAATGTTATGCGTAACTATATGCGATAATAATGTAACCATATGTAACCAATAATGTGATCATAATATTGGTAATTATTAAAAACATATTAAGTAAATGGAGAATTATTTCCCATTACATGTATTTTGGCATCAGTGGAGTAAAAGAAGCTCCTTCTTGTTGTCAAAATACCCCCCCCCTCCCTTTTCCTCCTCAATCTACAAAAGGTACACTTAATTATTTTTTTGCTGTTTTGAAGTGTGCAATATATTTCACAGATTGGGCAACAAATAGCCACTGGCCGCTGAACCTGATAAGAAAAATTCGCTCTCTTTGGACTATAGGTAACAACTGACGTGTTTTATCCACTATTTTGCATGTTGAAATGCACCGCTGTGTTCAAACTAAAGATAATAGTATAATAATATTCAGAAGTTAGTATGTTTGAAGTTAGACAAACGTTGCAGGCGTTATTCAGTTTCTTTGTGTTTGTGTGTAAGATATATAGGATATTAAAGTATACTTATAATGTAGATAGAGGAGGAGTGTGTTAAACCATTTAACTTACTTCGATCTGTTTGGTCGATATTTTTGGTGTCGTAGTAACAGTCTAGGAAAACGAAGACAGCAGCGTGCCCTTTTAGATATGTGCGTTCAAGAAAGTGTCTTCATATAAAGCATGAAATTGAATGATACTTTGATAGCCTAATGCACGTGCTTGGCAAATTAGACCTTTAGTGTTACTGGCTTAGCCATAATCTGTTTCATGTGAATATATTAGTGATATTAAACAACCCAATTAATACCAAAATAACATCGTTCCTTCTGGGCTTCAGAATGCTGGCACACCTCATTATAATCTTTATTTATATGCTGTTTTTTCCAATCTGATGAAAAGTAACATTGGCAGTCAGTAACATATTTACCGGACATCATGTCCATATCCCCCCCCCCCTTTTACCATGATGTCAGTGAAGCATGTGCTTTGTGCTATCAGACGTAGTGTTACTCTCTTGTGCATGCTTGTGGTGATGTATTTTTTAACTTTAAACTTTAGGTAGAGGAAAATTGATTTAAAACGTTTTGTTGGGTGGTTTTAAAGATGACGAACTTCCGCACCAAGTCATAAACGGAAGTGACGACATAACAAAAAATGATTTTTACACACGACTTGGATTGCTGTTGGGTGAGAACGCTCAAGCATCTCCAAGAAACACACCCCCACGACCTGGCTCCACCAATCCGAGTAGTCAGGAATCTTATGCGAGTATATCGTCATTGGCTAGTAGCGAAGCTAATTTGTCGGGATCCGCCAACACTAGTCCCTTATCTACACTTACAGGTAAGTTTTAAACCTCTGATGTTCCAGTCAGTGTTAAAGATAGAATATCGATTATCAACAATGATCATAAAAAAAATATGTAGGATGGAACACCAAGTTATAACTTCTCTTAATTTGTGTAAGGTAGTTCAAATTTCTTATTTTCTAATATATATAAAGCATTGGAAATCAATAGACCTAAACAGAAATCGCTCTTGACTGCAAATGTTATATTTTTGTTTCTGTTGCATTTCAGTCCCATCTTTTTCTTTTTTTTTTTTTCTGTAACAGGTCACTGCCTAGAAACTCTGTTGTTCATTTACTCTTTATTCATGGAAACCTTAACTTTAGCTTGTAAACACATTTTTTACATAAAAGAACAATTACTTTGTTAAATAATATATATACTATAAAAATTGTTGGGTTGATGATATTGAAAGACATCGGGGGTGGCGGGGAGGCTCTTCGAAATTTGACTTTCAAGCATAATATTGCTATGCTATCGGCGTAATTAGAGTAAAATTGAGAGGAATTTTTGATTAGGATAAATCATAATTTTGTGTGAACAACAACAACAAAAAAGCCTGACAGCTTTATTGTAGAATATTTATCGTAAATAAAAACACGCTTCATTTGGGTAAAATCTGTCTCAAATTAAATATCACGCAATCAAAACTAGGATTCTGTATATTTTTATTCTCGTACTTGTGGTTGTTTTCTATGCCCAAATTACTGACACGCAAATATATAAATATAAAATATTGGTTTTCCTTTAGAGGTTTTTAGTTGACTACAATATGCACATGATTCAGGCGGTAACTTAAAGTAGCTTAGCAACTAGCATTACGCTTTAAACAAGACCATTTATGGTAAGAAAATATTATTTACAACTTAACCAGTTCTCCCCCCCCCCCCTTTCCTCGTTAGGTATGAGACAACCTTGTAGCAGTGACTTGATCAGGCTGGCTATTAGTGACAATCATATCACGTGGTTTCAGGTTATACGTAAATTGATTATTATCAACTGCTGAAAACATTAAACCAGGTGGTATTCAGCAAATGAAAATAAAGTTAAACGTTGATCTGCGAAAAAATTAAAAATATGAGTTTTGGTGATATAGCACTATTTTTGTTACATGTTATGTTAATCATACATCGTCAATTTATATTTGTTTTTAGTAACTCGTTGAGTGAGTCAGCCAAGGTGAAAAGTTCTCACCCTGGGGAACCGTCGAATAGTTTGGTATAAATTAGGTAGTGTTCTAGGTTCCCCTAAAGGCTTGATAAGTTCGTGAATATTTTGTTTCTTAGTTTCTCTTCTGTAGCAAACCCAATGTGATTGCGTTTTTGTGGAATGAAGCACTCATTACCATTCTTCTAGATTCTGCCTAAGCCTTTTTTCTATGTAACAAGGTTTAAACTGCCTGACGAAGGGCTTCTGCCCAAAACGTTGCAAATATTAATATAGTATTTGTTATTGACGTGTGTTTTACCAACTTTGAACACGTTTTTCATCATTTTTCCACGTCTTGCGGTCTTTTCTACTGTAAAGAAAATAACTCATTCGTTTTACATTTTATCCATGATATCTGTGTCCATTTCCATTATTAGTAGGCCTTTGCTTAATTGAAAAAATACAATCAACAATACCCTACTGTTAATTGGGTTTTTAAGTTATTTTCAATCACCAGCAGAGTAACCTAAAATAATTTAGGTGTTCGAATAATGTCAGAGTTTGTTCATAAATCATTATTCATATTATAAGTTCTAACATTATTTAAACACTTAAATTATTTAAGGTTACTTTATTGGTGATTAATGGGATTTTAAAGTCTTTTTCAATGTTATATACAAATCACCGTTATTAAAGAACTAACAGCATCACTTTAGTTTGCCAGCCCAAGCAAGCCGTGCTGATGAGCCTCGAATTAGGCCGCGCATTTCATTTTACCTACCATCAGGCCCAAAGTTGGACAAAAAGTGCGACCTGGCTAACTAATGATTGAATATTTGCTGTAAAATTCTTATCAATGCTATAAGTGTA